CCAATAAAACGCGTGCCCGTCCTGCCCGACGCTCGGGTGACGTTTGTTTATTTGTTTGTTCGGTACAACGGGACTTGAAGCTTGGACGGTATACAGCAGTTAACGCAACGGGAGTTTAAATTGTAAAAAGTCGAAACGAAATGTAAAAATGTAAGGGGGAAAAAAAAACACCTATAGTATCCCCATAGTCTTACGGATTTTCCGTGCGTTGCGTTACCGCACCGTTATCGATTTCGTTCTTAACGGTTAAATCTCAATCAAGTCTTCGAGACGTCCGACTAGGCCTCTATAGCGATTCGCGCGTTTAAACAGTTATAACTCGTGCGAGTTATTCCGTTTTGTCATGACGGACGCGTTTGAAACCGTTCTATTAGGACGATCATTACAAACGGCGATTGCATTACGGTACGACAACACGGGACACGTAATAAACGAGCGAAATTAAATCGAACGTTTTTGAAAAAATTTAAGACAAACACACGGTCGAATCCGCAAACCGACACCGACCGTTGCAATAGTTACGCGAAACCGTAAACACGCCGCGGACAACGACAACATACATTTGAATGTTGTACTCTAACACGAAACGGCGGAATACCCGTCTCAGTGTTTCGACTTGGGCGAATAATTATTTTTACGTTTTTCATTTCCGTCTGCAGTTACGCCGCGCGTTTTCGAACGCTCGCGCCGTCGATGGGAAAACTCCGACCGACCGACGGCGTTAACCGTCGACGGAATCCCCGAGCCCGCGACGCGGCCCGTCAAACGAACGATCAATTCGATATTATGCCGGCCGTCGATGTTCAACGGCGATCCGTTCGGCGACAGCGGCGAACGCATGACGAAACGTGTAAAACACGCGCGAACGACGCGGAATCGGCAAAACGCACGGACGACGACGGCGGCGGCGATAATAACACCGGACCGCGTCCGCCCGCGTGTTCGCCCGAGGGCCGTTCGCGCTCGCGCCCGCCGAACCTGACCGGGCTCCGGTCGAGCACGGCCCAAAAAAATACACGTCCGTTACGCGCGTAATGACGCGACAACGCGGACTTTGCGGATTCACTCGGACGCTCGGCGCGATCGAACGGGGCGGCCGGCGGACGCCGAGAATAACGTCCGGAAACGCGGTGTACACGGCGCCGGCCACGCGGCATCGCGGCCGTCTTTCGTCGAGTCCGCGGTTGCTTCGCGCCGCGCACCGTTGTGTTTACAATTCATCGTGTACATAACAATAATAGACTTTCGAGCGCCGTGCACGTATTATTATTGTACACGTCGTTCCAGCGTTGGATATAAAACAGCATTGGTTTGTTTGTTTGGTTTGTTTTTTTTTTTAATTCCGAGCGCCGTAGCCGGGAATGTATTGATGCACGGGTTATGCGACGTGATGTGTTCTTTTCGTGAACGGCTATACGCAATACCTCGGGTTGTTAATTCAGGGCCCGGTTTCGAATGCCGTATAAGAGCTATCGAAACAACGCTCCGGACAACAGTCAAAATTGACGTGAACAATTCCTTTTTAGCGATACGGCGTCCTTAAAAAAAAAAATACCCTAAAACTGCTCTAAAAGCGAACAAAAAAATAATAATAATAATACCAGCGACGAACGCAAAATAAGTGTTTCGCGTTTGTTTTTGTTATTAGTTTCAGCCGGGTGACGCACCCCAATCATTAATAAAGATAAGATAAAAACGATATGTCGAAATCATAAATGAAACGATTGACAGTCTGTATTGACACCTAATATACTCATGAAAGCAAACGTCACAAAAACAAAATTTCTTAACATGATATTTTGATTTACCCAAATTTAAACTATTAATTCGTATAATAAAACATGTACACTTAAAACAAACACTATGATTGAAATAAAAAAGGTAAGTTAATGGGAACGGTCGCAGCCACTGGTGTAGGTGGGAGGTTGGGAAGGTAGGATATAGACGGGAATTTAATGTGCATCTGTAAGCAACGATAAACCATTGCTTACGAAAAAAAAACGATTCTGAACGGAGTTCAGTTGATAGTGATGCTTTGTCAACAATATATTTGTCATTTTGGAGTAAAATAATTAAATAGAATTTATATGTTTTCTTTAATAAAATTTATTTAATAAAATGTTGTACCAATTTTCCCAGTTTTCCTACGATTTTCCCGGTTTTTCCATATTTTATACCGGATTTAAAATTTGATGAGAAAACTCACGGGGAAATGTAAAAATGACATCTCTAAAGTAGCTCCTTAGTAAAATTTCCTTTTTAAAAACTTTGGTGTCATTAACAATTTATGCAAAATTGCTGGTAGAAAAGTTATCCACAGAAAAAAAAAAACTGTAAGACTATATTTATTATACTTCGTAAATTTTCCCGGTTTTTTTTTTTTTTTTTTTTTGATTTTTTGCATTGGACGAGAAAACTCTTGAAAAATCGAAAAACGACGTCCTCCCCACGCCGATTTCCGTTCAGAAAAGAAATCCGAGCAATGTCTTCTGGTAGAAAAGTTGCGCACAGGTAAAAAAAAAAAAAAAAACATCATTGTAAAACTTTAAGTTTCTTTGTTCTGCAAAATGCAAAAAAAAAAAAAATGTTCTCTTATAGAGTATCTGTTACACGAATTATGTACTTGGAAAGCATTGTGTTCATCCGAAAAGAAAAAAAAAAAATGTAATTTATATTTACATCCGGTCGTTAGTTATTATGCACCGGTTATGTCGCTCTAGTCTACAGTTATACAAGCTATACTATTATATTAACTGCGAAAAATTCGCAACAAGGCGTAGTAGATTTTCTATTATTTTTTTTTATATTTGCAAAAAAAATTCGATTAAATGAATACACCGATCGTGTAACCAATCAAAAACTCATAACCCCTTCCAATTTCATAATAAAAAAAAAAAAAACGATGAGCTCGCCACCGCACTGTAGGGAATATAATATTTTTCGATTACGGTGGTATTGCCTTCAGCCTTGACCGACAACGGGGAACGCGCGTATAATCAAAAATACAAACATCTCGGGCGCGTTCGGTTATATGGACGGTAAACAGTTTTATATGTGAATTCACAACACACCCCCACACCCCACCTATCCCTCTACCCCCTCGCTCCCCGAAGCCGCAAACCAACTGGAACGGTCTGTATATTAGGTGTGTGCGTGTGTGCGTAGACTTTTGCAAGGACGGTCGAGTCGGTCCTGCGGACTAAAAGCTCGTCTATAAACAAAACGTCCATTAAACCCGGTGGACCTAATAGTTATTTACAAGCTCGGCCAAAGTTCGATTTTTGATTACAAATATTTATTGGCTTTTTAGCGTGTAGGAAATAACACGGGCCGGTTCGATTTAATTAACATTATAATTGTACGGTAATTTCACCCGAGGCAAAAATCGAATAATAGTCCCCCCGTCTTCGATTAAACTAGTCCAACGTTAGCCCTTTATAACCGGAGAGCGGTGGGAATATTGTTTTTTTTTTTTTTTTTTTTTTTTTTTTTTTTTTTNNNNTTTACTTGTTTTTACTTGTTTCCACTCGTCTCCGAACCGGGTTAAACGCGAGCGAAAAATGTAAAATAAATATAAAAGTCGAATTGGTTTCCGTGGGCTGTATACTCGGATAAAGCGAAAAAAGAAAAAAAAAAACAACGCTCCGCGTGTTTCCGACCATTATTTGGCTGTACAACATTATTTTTGCACCGTTTGAAATTAAAAGATCTCTTACCCCGGCGCTATCAGAGATAATAGTTCGTCCAACATTATTGACCAACTCACTCGCGTCCGTAAAAAGAGGAATGGCAAAAGTGTTGAACGGATAATTGAGGGTGAAGGGGCAACGCGAAAATTACCGTTCGGGTCACGCTAAATCACACCAATCACGCGGCACTTATTTTCGGTAAAACGAAAACGCTGAAACGTCTATTTTCATACTCACGGAACATTACTCCAGACCCCTAAAGTTTCTATAAAATTAACGGCAGACGAAAACAACAACGGTTTTACAACTTTGGACGGAGGGGCGGGGGAGTGGCTGATGAAATGTACGCACGTCGTCGAATAGATTGCGGACTGAAAGACCGAAAGAACGGTATGGTAAAACGAGTGGGGGGTGGGAGTGGTGGTGGTGGTGGTGGAGGTGGAAACGGCGGTAAAAGCGAACAACGGTGTGGAGCGAGACGCGGCGGAAAATCTCTATAAATGTCCGGCCACCGCGTACCGATTGAGACCCCCGTGTGTAATAATGTGCGTAGGTTAATAATATTTACGGTCCACGGTCGTCGAAACGAAAATGCCGAAAAATCGCGAATTTCGACGAACAGAAGAAAAAAAAAAAAAAAAAAAAACGCCGAAAATAAACGTACACGGTTCGAAAATGCAAATCGCTGAGAATCGATTCTGGGCCGCGGCGATGGCGCTGGCCCATCCGAAATCGTATTTATTTATTATTCGTTTTTTTTTTCCGACCCTCCGGTGACAACGGTTAGATATTTCCGGAGTGTTGTCTTCAGCGCGAACATCGTGCCGCTCGGCGTTTTCCACCGACGGAATTCCGTCCTATCCGCCGCCCCCCACCCCCACGCCACGCGCGGAACGGATTTGGAATATATATTTTTCTTTTTTTTTTATTTTTATTTATCCGATTGGATTTTTTCCTAGGTTTTTTTTTCTTTTCGCCGCGGTCCGCGCGTTGTTCCGTCTGTCTGTCGGCGGCTGCAAAGCGGGTCCCGCGGACGGTTCGGCGACATTGATCTACGCGATGGACACCGCGGGTTCGGCGGGGACAAGGCGGACGAGGACGAGGGAACGGGACCGTAAAAAAGGGAGGTGGGGGTGAAAAAGGGAAAAAAAGTTTTTCCGTATAAACCTGCAGAGCGGCAGCGGTGGAGAGGGGGAGGGGGTGGCGGAGCCGCAGCGCGTTCGGCTGTGCCCCGGGACAATACGCATAAACGGTCCGGCAATCTGCTCGCCCCGGCCGAAAAATCTTTTTCAATCATCCCGATCGAAATCCACGCAACGGCATATTATACACACACACACACACACACACACACACACACATATATATCTCGTAAAAAGTTTTCGGCAATAACTTTGCGAAAGCAAAAACAATTTCAAATTAAATGATACAATACCGACTGCGCGTCGTCGTCAATATACACGGAAACGCGTGCAAAACACTCACGGATCTCGAACGTTCGCCCCCTTGTTGTGTATACGTACAATGCGATACAATCACAATAATAATTACACGCGGCGAAAGCGAAAGCGCGTGTAATATTGTAATATCGAAATGTATCGGTTTTGCACACTTGTTCGGCAAAATCGTAATTCGTAATACGACCGTTATTGTGTGCGCGTTGCAAATCTTTGTTTTGCGATGAAAAAAACCAAAAGAAAAAAAATCAACGGTTTACGATCCGTTTGGCGTGAATCGATTCGATTTCCGTTTTATTTTTCAATCGTTATGTTTTCGTTTTATATTTAACGTTTTCAACACTATTTTCGTTTTTTTTTTTTCGATTTTGAGACCACTTCTTTCATACGGAAATCCGCGTAGATAATGACAGTTTTCTTTATAGACGCCGATAAACCGATAGCTCGTAAACAGTAAATCCTATCGCACGCGGAAATACGGGGGAGGAAGGGGCTTTAGGGGCCGGGACCTCCCGAAAATTTCAATAGGCTCCCTATAACATCCTTCCGAGTTTTCTATCAATTTATCGAATTTTTTAATAGTTTATGACGCGAAGTGAAACATTTGTTTGTAATCAAAAATACAATTATAATTAGAGCGTTGATTTCTGTGTAAAAAACATGTTTTCATAATGGATGTACGCACGACCGCGGCAGTAAGACACGTCAACGGATTCACAGTACAAAGCATATGAATACGAAATTTTATTTTGCACGTTAGTGCGTATTTCGACGTTAAACGAATGTGTATTCATATAAAATCGTACTTTTGCGTATTAGACTAATTGAAAATTCACGAATTAAAATATTACGCACATTTCAACCGCTGCGATAATTTTTTTCTACTTTATAATAATTTGTTATTGGGAACGTCGTACCATAGTTTTCAACGCCTCTGCTATTCGATAGTTAACAGACGATAACAGAGTGCGAAAATTGTAAATTTTACCGTGGATCGTAATACGAATACGGTGAAGTGTGACGTTGATAATCCTGTTAGTCGAATTTTCGATACCCGTCTAGTTATCGTTTTCGGACAACAGACTGCGCCTACGGCCCGACCATAATTGACGATCTCATATTTTGTTACCGCGTGAATTGTCACGCGTTTCCATGCGGCGATGACGAGTTATCGTCCCGTATGCGAATTCCGTTAAAACTAACGAATCGTCATTATTTGTGCTCTGCGAATGTCGCGTTTCGATTTATGAGTTTTAACTTGACGAAATGCCGAAACAAAGGTCTTGGAAAAATTAGTTTATTATTATTATTAAGTTTCCCGGAGAGAACGTATCGATATAGAAACACGCGAGAATTTTCGAGAACGTTGCGGGCGCGTACGGACGTTTCCAAGAGAACACCATCGTTGTGTCAATGGTCGCTGTTTCGCGGCAATCAAACCACGGTATGCAAACGGAACGTCCGGCTGTATCCCCGCGCGCCGTCCACTCGGGTTGCTGTCGCTTCGCGTCGGGCTCGCCTCGGTTCGGGAACAACGCCCTGTCCCGCCCGTCGTGCCCGTTATCTTTTGAACAGTACGAGACGTTCCCGGACGTCGGGACCGTTGAAATCACTCGCGGTACAATGATTATCATCACTCCCGTTCGTGTTCGTGCCGTTCGCGCGTTATGACTTATGTATACGGGGGGGGTGGGGGGGTCCGCGTAGCACCGCCGTTCCGGCAAACGTCTTTTTTCGGAGTTCGACAATCTCGTCTCCGACCGCCGTCGGCCGACGACCGCGCTCCACAACGGCGCAGACCTTTAACGGTATACAGTACAGTAGCGTTTACGCTGAATCGTGAAATCCGCGTTTTTCGATTTCGGGCCGTCGCGCGTAGCTCGTTCGGAAACGTCGAACCGTTTTTTTTTTTTTTTTTTTTTTATTATTATTATTTCACTGAAATGTTTTTTTCGCGAAAATGACGTTTATTACAACGGCCACGCCGTCGCGCGCGGTGCAGTTTTCCATCCGGTGCGAAATCGACCGAGAAAACCGAAATTGAACCGCACCCAAAGCGGCATTACGACCGACGCGGCGTTCGGCTATCATTCAAAGTCACCGATTTTCCTGGTCAATTCGTTTCCGAACAAAAATAAACATATACACGCAGATTCAAAAGATTTTCAATTCGATATTGACCAACGTCAACTATATATACGTTGCACAATACGAAAAACGACGACGTGTTGTATTTTTCATGTTTGACGTGAACAAATTGTATGGAAAATAATAATATAATCGTTTGTACACAAAACTGCGATGGTATCGCTATACTGGAACACGAACAACGCGTAGATTATATTATGCACAAGGCCCGTGATTTAATACTTTTGCAATTCTACGGATGTTTTTTTTTTTTTTTTTTTTTTTTTTTTTTATCGTTACTATTTGTACGTACAATACACTATAAATAAACGATAAGAAAAAAAAAAATAGCCGCGATTCAGGTCGGCGTGTGATCGATTAAACGCGAAATAATGTGTTCGCATCGAGATTATATTTATTGCACACGTCGATTTTAAATATTACAAGGGTATAGTGTTGATAAAAGAGAGACGCCTGAGGTCTGGTAGTACCAGCAGGACAACACGAATGTCAGTGATCAAAAGACTCGTTACGAAATAAATTTGAGAATGTCTGTAGCCAAACAGGGCCGCGGTAGTTGTGCTTTGGAAAAGTTGTTCCAGTCGGAACGTCTTTCTGGGCGGCCGGAGGAACGGCCGCGCGCGTAATTTAACTCGAAACTTTGAAAAACGTTTACCGAGTCGGATTCGCGGTCTGATTTTCGAAAATTAAATAGTGTAGATAGGTAGTGGCAGCTCCGAGGAGGTAAATATTTGAATCGCACGGTGATTCGCAAAAAAAAAAAAAATAGGGTGAACGGGGATGCCTGGATGTTCAGAAAAATAANGCAAATTATAATGATTTTTTTTTTTTTTTTTTAAAATAAGAGAATCACACGAATTTGAGAATGCAGAAATTCGATAAATTTAACGAATTTTACGATATTTAACAAATTTCAATACATTTATGATATGGGGCGGTGGTATTTTCGGATCGGGATCGGTGGGCGGGCGGGCAGTTGGAAAACGAAATCAGCGATTCGAGGTGAAAATACTTCCGAGCCGCCACCGTAGGTAGGCACGTAACGGGAATTAATACACGCGGGGCGCATAAATGCTATTTACGAGCTGATCGGGCGGTCGAGTACACGGGGCGCTTTGCTCGGAGATCGAGCGTCGTCTCGAAAAATAAACCCGGGCGACGACGTACGGAAGATAAATGGAAAAAGACCCGCGGAGGGGGGTGGGGGGGGGGTTCGCCCTAAACAGCGGTGCACCGGGGAACGTTGAATTAAAGACGGATTTAAACAAACGCGCACGGGGATGTGAACTACGTTACACAACACGGTGAGCGGCAAAGGACGGAGGGGGGGATGGGGAATAGTGTATCGTCGGGGACAGCGAAAGCCCGCCCCCCCCCCCCCGAGGACCGTATCAGACTGCTCGCGGCGAGCACAAGAAGCAGAAGATGCGCAGTGTCCGCGGAACGGAATCGAGTGCGGCGGCGTTCCGTACACGACAAACAATTTACTTGGGATCCCGCCGCCGTATACAAGAGAGTTTTGAAGTAGGTTTATACGTGTGTATCGTATATATATATATATATTAAAAGGTATACGATAAATAAAAATGTAAACCGCATATGTTATAATATACAAGAGATTATGCCGACCGGGGACCTTAAACTTCTGCAGCGAACCCGCATCAACGAGAAAAAGGGTTACGCGTTCGAATATACAATAATTCGACCTTTAGAATACATATATTACGTTATCCCTCCGTCCGACCAAACGAAATAATATAATCAATAATGTATAGCGCGTATCAGTTTATACATGTATATATTATAACCCTGGACGCAAATTTTTTTTTTTTATTTTTTTACCAATAACGCATATGCAACCGACCCGCGGGCCAAATAATCCAAAGTACTGTGTACGAATTGTATACAATATGATCGAATCTCTCTAGAGATGAGAAGAAAAGAAAAAAGACTCCGCACGACGAGCGCGGAGCCACTGTTGTTGATGAGAAGTCGGGAAGGTACGATATAGAGGGGAAATTAATTTGTGAAAACGGATATGAAAATCGAAAAATCATGACGTCGTTAAAGCACCTTCCCGGTCAGATTTCCTTTCAGAAAAAGTGCTATCATAGTAAATCGTATCGAAAATTCTGGTAGAAAAGTTGTCGGCGGAAAAAAAAAATACCACAAAGTTATTTTACTAATATATTTCTTACGTTTTACCGTTTTTTTTTTTCGGTTTTCACATTTGATGGGTAAACTCCTGAGATAATCGAAAAAGAACCTGCGCCCCGAGAAAATGTTCTTTCGGAAAAAAAGCCAACATCGTATGCATCGGAGTAAGCTTTCTGGTAGAATAAAAATTTATACACAAAAAAAAAAATAATAATAATAAAAAAAAAATAAGCATCTTTGTAAAACCAATGAATACTACTCGCTATACTCAGAATCCAAAAACGAAAATGAGTCGAAAAAATTAATTTTAATCGTTTCTAATTCCACGATAAAATTAAAACTTTGTTGTTTTAGAAAAAAAAAGAGGTTCGTCCTACGTTGTGAAAAATAAAAATTACTTTGTCGTTGATTAAACGTCACGGCGTGCAGTCACTGCAGTTAATATTACGCGTAGGTATATGAATTAATATAAATTGAATTCGCGGGATGCAGTACCGAGTATTTTATATTATAAAACGTGCAGTTTTTTTTTTTTTTTAATTGCATTCTATTGGAAAAGGCGTAAGTAAATTGTATTAAATTATATTAGGTCAAAGCCGGGCTAGTCATTCGATTTTAGTAACCGAGTTAAGTCAACAGTCACTTACATTGATTTAATAACTTAGATTATAGGCTTCGTGTCCAGCGGGCGGGCCCGAGTC